CTTTTGGGATGAGCACTGGGTGTTGTATGGAAACCAATTTGACAATAAATTTCATATATTAAAAAAAATAATAATAAAATAAAAAAATAAAAAAATATATAACATCAAATTTATAGCAACATAACTCCAATGTCGCTAAAATATGCAAGCTTTTCCAATGAGATGATAATCCATTAAAGAATCAAGGCCTGCAAATCAAGTGTTACTATTTCAGAAAAACAGCTATGATGAAGACACGTTTATTAGTAAACTTACCTCCGGTGTAGTGACTCTGAAAATTTAAGGCTAGCATAAATAAATTCTTTAACTTGAATGTAAATATGAGGCACTGACTGAGACATGGGAAATTTCTTTGGGAAAGATTGCTGTAGAAAGAAAAACAAAGTTGATATTGTTTTTGAAATTTTAGAAAAAGATATTCTAATCACCTGAAAATGTAAAAATTAAATTGCTTTCACATTTGAATAGGAAATGACTGCATCTCAAAGTCTACTGTTACATTTCTAATTATGTTTGAGATTTTAAAGAAAACTAAAATATTTCTGAGAAAATAGTGGCAATTTACCTGTTTCTTAAATCCTATTATCAGACTTCTAAGAAGCAGAGAAAGTACATATCAATACCACTGTATGTTCTGATGAGAAACATCCTGCAGAAGAGGTCTAGCTGTCTGTTGCTTTGCATTCATAATACAAGAGTCAGGTTGGCCATGAAAGTTATGGGCCATCTTCCTGGCTCAGTATCATCAATTCTAAGACTCCTCTCACTCACGTTCAGTGAAGGCTTGACACCAACAAGGTATCTATTTCATTCCATAATTCCTGTAATACCTTACAGCAGTGCAGCCAATGGTTTACATGGTACCTTCTGGATAAAGTGCTTTATCAGCCAAAATTTATTAGCAAATTCTCAGTCTCCAAAAGGTAAATTCTCTCCAAGATTTCTACCAAAAGCTCCTATTTACACTTAATGAATTCTAATTTATACTTCCATCTTCACATTTGTTGCAACGTAGTTAACCAGTGAAAGTATTCTCACCAAGGTGACTAGTGACCCCACAGATGTTAAATCCAACAGACTTTGCCAGCTTTCACGTTACCTGATTTATCTGAAATATCTGACACAGTTCCCTCCTGATTCTTAAATGATCTCTCCTTCCTTGGCATCCATGCCCCACATTGATTTTCCTTATTTGTCTACCTTCCCGGTAGCTCTTCCTAGTCTAGCCATCTCTTAATTATTGCTGTGCCTTAGGGTTCTAGCCCACATCTTCTCTCTCTCTCT